GCACTTTACTAAATTATAACCCTGAGGATAAAATATGACTATAATAATTGCTAAAGTTAAAACCAGAGAATAAAGCCTACATGTACAATATATCATACATTTTCAGCTTTTTTATTATCTAGTTTGTTCCTGTCCTGGAAGAACTGCTTGTGGAGAATTAATTGGGAACTTAGATTACAGTAACGCTTATAGTTCATATGTGATTTAGCATGTGTTTTGGACCTGAGATATTGACGATAATAATACTTAGCAATAATGACGCGCGACCGTTGCTTACTGTGCTGTTTCTTTGATCCCTATCATCACTTCACTAGTAAGAAGTCCAAACAGTGAAGTCATTCGCCCGGATTTACATGTTATTAAAGTGGAAGAGCTGGGACTTTTAACCCTTTGAACTAGTCAGGGTTAACTTCCAAGATACATGGACTTCCAATGTTATGTGGTCCATGTAACATACTGTAGGTAATAACATGATGATGTATTTGAATGTTACGATTTCAAGAACACTTACTTGGTGTTAGACACTGATGTGATAGTAGTTGGAGAATTTAGGCTCATCAGCTTGGAGCCCTCCTAAGCCAGGATACAACCAGAGTCCTCTTAGTCTCTGCCCTGTGAGCATAGAGGAAGGTGGCCACCTTAACCCTCAAGAATGGAGATAATCTGTGTCATTGCTTTAACGGTAGAACTGTGAAAAACCAGGATCTGCAGGTTAAGCCACCTAGTTCATGGTATTTTGTTATATTATTCTTCCAGACCAAGACACAGAATAATGTGAAGATTGCCTTAAACATTCAGATTTTTAGTGTTTGAAGTATGACAGGGACTATGTTTATAACACACACACACACACACACACACACACTCACTACTGAACTTTATCGTCACATGAGAAGTCCAGAGTTATTTATTTAGTTGCTTGGCTATGTGTTTTTGAATTAGCATTCATTAACAACATGAGGGGGTTCACTCTAATGTGCATGCGTATAGGATGCGTCTGTCCTCCTCCTTACACTACCCTTTTGATCTCCCTAGACCCAGACCGTGCCCCTTTGACATTTTTCCATCATCATCATCATCATCATTTTAGAGCTAAATTCAAGGAATACGTGAGCAAAGATGAAATTTGGAAAGGGAAGTCCTATTTGATGAATAGGGCCTATGATTTTTTGTACTTGGGACTGCACACCAGGAAACGCGAAGACCACTGGCCAAGGTCTTCAAGAGTCAGAAGTGTAGATGTGTAAAGGTTTTCTTACATCTAGTCACCTGTACTGGTAACATATGATAGTGAGAAGGTGATGAAGAGCCTGACCTTTGAAATGAGATTCCACAGATTGTAAACGCACTCCAAGATTTGTAACCTATGTGTCCTCTGTGCTACAAGCTTTTCAGTAACAAAGATAACTCCTTTCTACAGTATGGAAGATTGGCATAAAATGTGGAGATGATAAAGCTAGAGAATCTATGAGAAGCGCTACCCGTTCTTGTCATCAAAGAGGCAATATAAAAATTATGACTTCTATATCATTATTGTTACTACTTTTGTTATTATTGATGTGAAGTGGACATAAAGAAAGTGTACTTGGAAATGTTAACAGCAGGGTTTTTTTTTTAAATTTTGTGTGACATAATTTAAAAAGCTGTACATTGTAGGGGGTTATCAAGATTGTTTTCTTTTCATGAACATTGTATTTTGAATTAAGGGGAAAGTTTCCAAGTTGTTGAATTATTTGTGTCAGAAAAATTCTATTACAAATGATAAAAATATAAAAATAACACTTACTAGGAGAAATTTCCTGAAGAAAATCTCTTTAACAAGTGAACATAGTTATATATTGTCTGCTGGGTACCATACTTTGCTCTATATAATCTGATAAAATTAACATTTTTCCCAAGGGTATAACTTGAAGGTGAAGCACTGGGTGATGTCTAATACTAGGTATGATGTTCCCTTTTGACTTGGTGTGAAAATATTCGTGATTAATGATGGTACTTTTCTTCAAAACAAATATTTAGCCTGAGATTTTCTTCATGTTTTGATACACTAACAGCACAAATGCATTAGAGTGAATAGTCTCACTGGATTAAGTTAACTTTTAAAAATTGAGACGCGTTGTGTGTAGCCTGGGCTGGTTTTCTGTGTAGACCGGCCTGGGCTACAACTCCCAATTCCCCTGCCTTAGGCTCCCCAGGCTGGGATTACAGGCTTCTTCCACTGTGCTTGGTTTCTAGCTATGTGTTCTTATATGAGATTAATAACACCAGCTTTTGTACAGCTCTTTAAATACAACTTTGAGTAAGATCACGCTGACTAAGCTTTTAGTCTGGCCTCCTTACATTATTTTGACTTTTTCTCTCCAGCCTTTTCTTATGCCTTTATCAGTGGAAATCACTCTCTGGTGATGTTAACTTGGGACTCACACATTTCAATTTATACATTACTGATTTTGTTAATCTTATTCTCTACTCTTTCTGGTCTTTTACAGGGTTGCTAGAGTAATCTCCCAATATATTAATTGTTTATAAACATACAAAATATAGAAGGACAGGATTTTAATTTTAATACCAAATATAAACACGAAAACACTATGGCCTTCATTTTTTTTCTGACTAGACATGTTTTTTTTGTTGTTTTGGAAAGGTGATGTACAGAGGCGTGACAGTTACCTAAGTTAGGTGATGAGTAGATTTCTTTTGGAACAACATCACGTCTTCCCTCATTTTCTCCCTGCTTTTCCCTCCCCCACTTGTAGAAGTTGTACAGTTCATTTTTACATAGTGTCTAGTGAGGATCACTGTTGTATCTGCTCAACCTTTGTCTCACCATTTTGGTGAGACATACAGAAAAACATATAGGACAAAAGGTTGAGAAATCAAAAGAGTGACAAAGGAGCATTAAAAAGCAAAATAACAAAAGCTCTTATGTTTCCATTTCTCAGAATTCATTGCAATAAACATCATTTTATATGATCATATGCACAAAATTATTGAGCCTTTGTGGTCCTGTCCTAAGATTATCCTCCTTTGGTCACGCTGTGTGAATGAATGTTTAGAGTCTAGAGTCTAATTTACCATGTCCAGTATATTTTTTGTATTTTCCCATCCAGTGTGTTTACTTGTAGATTTCTATGCACATTCTAGTTACCAAACATTAGGGAGACCATGCAACATACGTTTCTTTGGGTCTAGTACTGTACTTTTGCCCAAGTCTTTCCATTACCTTATGAAAGGTACAATATTATTCTTCTTGATAGAAGCGTGGAAGTCCTTGTGTATGTGTCCAACATTTTCTTGATCCATCCATCCTTGGAGGGGCATCTGGGCTGATTCCATATCTTGGCTATGGTAAACAATGCTGCAATGAACAGGGTTGTGCTGGTAGGTTTAGTGTGGCCTTGTTAGTTTTATTTTGGATAAATGCTCAGGAGTGGAATTGCTGGGTCATGGGAAGCTCTATGTTTAGTCTTTTGAAGAACTTCCATACTGCTTTCCATACTGGTTGGACAAGTTTACATTCCCACCAATAGTGTAATATGATTCCTTTTTGGCCATATCCTCACCAGCATCTGTTATTATTAGTTTCATTGATAATAACCATTCTAACTAGAGTAAGGTGGAATCTCACTGTTGGTTTGATTTGCATTTCTTTCATGGCCAGAGACATTGAACATTGCTTCATGTGCCTATTGGCCATTCTTGCTTCATCTTCAGAGAAATCTCTGTTTAAGTCTTTAGCCCTCTTGTTAATGGGGTAGCTGTTTCTTTGAGGATTTGTTTTTAGGGGATTAATTTTTTGGGCTCTAAGTATGTTTTAGCTATGAGACCCTTGTCTGATGCATTGCTAGTAAAGGTCCTCTCCCATTCTGAGGGCTTTCTATTTATCTTGGTAGCTGTGTCCTTTATTAAACAGAAACTCTAAAGTTTGATGCAGTCCTACTTAGGCAGTCTTTCTTTGATTTGTTGTGATTCTTGGCCTTCATTTCAAGGACCTTTCCAGATAATGCACTTATTGCAGTGATAAACATTTCCCCAAATATATTTGTGATTCTCAAGAAATATCTGAAGAGAATGTGTTCAATTGTTATTTATATAATTATTATTGTCCAGAAATTTTTCTTATTCAGAATGGCTAGCTCAGCTAGCTCTATTCTAATGACACTGGGAGGTTTGTTCAATAAATCTAAGGATCTGGTATTTTATTTGATATTGTTTCTGAAATTATAATCTAGCTATTGTAGCCTCCAGTGGTTGACAGTTTATTACGATTAAATTTAACAATTATTTTAACTAACTCTGAGTAATGATTGTGTTGAAGATAGCTCATGGCACTGAGCTCCTAAATCTTACATTATCTTATGATAAGCAAATTCCTTACCTTTTAGGTATGTTCAAGACCTGATGCAGACAGAAACTTTATTCATAGTCTCCATTACACCCAGGGCCCTCAACAGAAACAATATATTCAGCATCAGAAATGTGTCCTTGAAAAGAACCTTTCCCTTTCCCATGGCATGCTGTCTGAAATGGTACTTAATATTCTCCTTCGTTAATGTGTGCTGTTTGGATCTCTGGAAAAGAGTACAGAGAAAGGCCCATGCCCTGTAGATTACTACAACTTGGACGTCCACTTGAGAGAGAATAATTCATGTGTGCCATTGAGCCACATTTATGTCTGTCTCTGGAAATAACCAGATGCTATCTTACTGGTCTTACAGGTAAATGTGGGGAATAGTGAAACATCTGTATACAGTTTACAAATAGTTTACAAATTACTCTTGAATGTTAATCAAAACCCAGAAAAATCTTGTGAGGTAAGTACTATATTAATCTCACAATTGTGAAAACTAAGTCTTTGAAAATTTTTCCTTGAGTTTGAGCTCATTACAAAGGATGAGTTCTAATAACTCAAGCTTTTCAAGCCTTTTGTCATATTCAGTAAATGTGAAGTCAGTGCAAAATGAGTGGAATTGTTTGGCTAAAAATAACTTCTTTCACAGGAAGAAGAACTAAGAAAGAGTGGAGAAGCCAAATATGCCCACTTGAGTGACGAACTTCACGTGTTGATTGAAGTGTTTGCTCCTCCTGGGGAGGCTTACTCACGGATGAGTCACGCACTGGAGGAGATTAAGAAATTCCTGGTTCCGGTAAGTGTTTTTCATTTCTTACAAAGATGGTTCTCATCAGCTTCTATTTTAAAATGTGCCTTTGATCTTCACGGACTTTTTAGAAGGAATCTAATATTGCAAGCTAATTATCTTTTGAGAGGTTTGGTACAAAGCTAGAATAATGATTCTAAAAGTGCTTCTTTTAGAATTTGGGTGTGTCATAGACGCTAGTCTAACTCTAGCACATGGCATGCTATGCATCAGCTAACAGTAAGGAAGAAAAAGCCAAAACATATAAGTGCCAATGTACAAGTGCCAATGTTCAATTGAGGTTATACACCTTGTCTGGATCCTAATCACTTGACACATGTTGTCAGCAACTTACAATCAGTAGAGAAAGCACTTGCAGGTAGAGGGGAAGGGGAAGTAATTAGGTTTGTAGTAGTTATTAAAAGTAATGATAATATTTTAAAATATCAACTATTTAAAATATATCAAATGTCATTCATTTATGTCACAGTATGCCAGGTGTTGCTAGGTTATTATAAACTGTATTATAGAAAAATTAGTAATAGAGTCAGACATTTGTTAGTCAAGCAAAAATTAGGGGAAAAAAACCTCACTGCACTGTAGGAGAACAATAGAGGATATTCATGTGTAAGGAAAGAAATTCAGTTTCAAATTGAATATTCACTATTTTTTAAGAGACAGGAAGTAGAATGATATTTCCTAAAGGTTGACAATTTGGCATTCTATAGAGATGCTGTTCAAATAGAAATCTTGGCATGAGACTTAGGGGTAGGAATAAGGAAAGGAGAATGGAAGGCTCTTCTGCAGTGTATGACAAGCTAAGATTAATCGATACAATGAGGAAATGTAAGAAATGTAGGTGGCTGAATGAAGTAATAAACTCAGAGGACATGGTGGATAAGATCCATCGATGGGGCAGTGATCGTAAGGATGAAACAAAGATCACCAGAGAATTTGCAGAACGTAAAAGCATCAGTGTCCAGCCATAGTATCTATGTCTGTGTCATTTCCAAATGTAAATTTGATGAAGACAAGTTTCAGGATAAACTTGTGTGCCTTAGTTCTCCATCACATGGCACTTCAGAGCAGGCTGCTTTCTGGTCCCCAAGTGAAACTCCGTGACGAGACCCTGTGGCTGTGAAGAACATAACATTCTGTCCTTCCTTTTGCCTAGTGCTGTGTGGTGTAAAGAGCTTTTCGTGATAATGTAGCACAGAATCAGGCGAGGATTGGCTTATGGCTTTACCTCCTTTCATACCTGTAAAGAAGTCTTCACATTGTCAGAACTCAGGCTTATTTATCCTGTAAATGAAGATAATTACAATTGATTGACCTCTATACACTTTTTGTGGAAATTAAATAGGGGAATGCTCCAAGCATTATAAGTATTATAAAGCAGTATAAAACACTATATAAATAGGACTTTTAAGCCTACTGTATTGTTACAGGACGTACAAATATCTAGGAAGGACTTCCTGTATAACACTTTTATGTTAGACCAAGTAGTATTTCATTGCTTCTTACATGTTAGACGTAGACTGTGGGCTGGGCTGATGTAACTTTATTACAAATGGCATTAACGTGTCTCACTCTTCTCCTGTCTTAGACCTCATAAGACTTGTAACACTTTCATTTACAACTTCTCCATGGAACATGTGTGTGTGAGACTTCCCTTGGCCAACACTGAACCTTCATCACTCAGGCATCACATTTGGTGTGATGTTGGTTGGCTGACAAATGGCAGGCCGTTGCCCTGACAGAACAGGGATCAACACCCCCAATAAACAGACCCTGGTGGATTCCAGTGTTCCCAAATAAAGACATATATGTAAACAAACCCTGATGGACTGGGGCATCCCCAAATAAAAATGTATCATATAAACCACATCCTGACCAAGAATAGCAACCTTACCTTGGCTAGTGTCACCCAACATGCTAGGGCCAGTCCATCCTAAAGGCCTTTGAAGATTCTTCTCCAAAATATTGACATGGCAATTTCCTTACAATTCTGGCATCAGGTTGGATGTCAGCTACACAGGATTTTTTTTCTCAAACCACAATCATGAGTACCTTTCCGAACTACCTTCTGTCATACAGTCTTGTTAAAAATTGTTTCTAACACTCTACCACTGAGCCACCTTCCCAGCCCCTAACCCTCTATGTAGAAGTTCCCTTGGTTTTGGGGTACAGTCCTGGGCTTTGGACATAACCTTGCAATGTATGATTTCCTTAGATGAGAGCCCCTGGCAGAGGTGTAGCCCTGATGTTGAGATGCAGTGGGGCTGGGGGACTCTTACAGGAGAGCTCAAGATCAGGGTCACAAAGCCAGGTGGGCCACGTTTACAACTGTTTTCTGAGAAAAGTCCAAAGTGTCCATAATTACCACCTCATAGCAACTGATCAAGATTAGAGGTCATATATCTTTCTTTTAAGGCTTCGGAAGTCCCCTTATTTTCTTACTAATATCTGTCATCACTACCACTTCTTTAAGTCGGTGGTGACCAGAGTTAGCTTTGTGCCACTCAGTATAAAGACCCCTAATTTGATGTAACCATACAGTTTCAAAGTATATGTTTCTACTTTTGATTGGCAGCACTGTAGACTTTCTTTTTAGATCCTACCAGAGATTGTGAACTCAGTCACTTAATTTCCTGGTCTAAACTTAGTTGTGAGATCTAATTCTTTTTTTTAATAACATTTTTATTGTAAAGATACTGTACAGAAGGGTTATAGTTACATGAGTAAGGTAATGAGTACATTTCCTGTGGAGCATTGTTAACCTCCTCCATTGTTTTTCCTCCACCATCCCTTCTCTCCCCACCTCTCCAACCACCCCCGCCCAAAGCTGTAAAGTTCGTTTTCAACATAGTGTGTTGTACATCTCATTGTTTCAATGGGTCATCCTGTGTCCTTATTTCAACATTTTGTCATTTCCCTTTTCCTCTCCAAATTATAAAAATGTATATACAAGATGCAGGGCACCGGAATCAAATACAGTGACAACAGGGGTTATACCATGGGGGAGGAACATACAAGAGATCTAATTCTTATTGAAATTGCCTGTAAGATATACTTGCTTTTATAGTCTGAATGAATTCATGAATTACATTTTCTGGAGTATTTCTTGTGGAACAAGACACTCGGAGGGTATTTGTGAAGAAGAAACACACACACACACACACACACACACGCACGCGCACACACACACACACACACCTGTGCTCTACAAGGATCCTGAAGGCTTTGTATGATTTTCCACACACA